CCTTTCAGTAAAATTTGGATACAAGTGTAGCTGGAGATTTTCACAGCTGAATAGAGACTGTTTTTGTGATTGTTGTAGTGTTGTTGGTTTTTTGTATTAAAAAAAAAATCAGAGGCTGTTTTGAATCATGAGGTAACCATATTAGCTGGGTGTTTCTGTTAAAGTAATCATCAACAAAATTATTAATTCTGCTAACAGTGTAAGTGTATTAAACTTGCAGATCAAACAATGCATCGACATGAGTTGAACCTCTGATAACTATTGTCTTACTCTGCCTCTTGAATAAGAAGTAGTGCAGTTGTTTTTGAGCTTATTTAACATTTTCAAGGTTTGAGTCACAGCAGAAAGGGTTAGAAAAAACATGTAAGGGAGCACTAAGAGTTGAGATTTTGCCCCCCCCCCCCCCTTTTTTTTTTTTAGCAAGGGATGTCTTACAAAGCAAAATATTTGCCTATTAAATTATAGATGTTGTGAAAGCCTGACTATATGGGCTGCAGGTTCTAGTTAAGGAGAGAAGTGGTATCAATAACAAGTAATTTTTCCCCTCTATCATGTCATATTCAATCACATTGACAACCACATTAACAAAATCCTCACTTCCTTAAATCCCTTCAGAACCACTTGTTCCTCAAACTGCACCAGGACTAAACTTCTGATCACTTCCTTTAAAGACCTGTACTATAAGTTCCCTTCACTTCCATCACTGCATCCTGATGTTGTATTTTATCTTTATGTGTATTCTTCTTTTCCAGCTTTGATGGCCTTTATTATATATTTGCCAGCTTATACACAAACATCTGTGCGTCTTCTCCCTTGTTGCCCGTCTCGCCCTCTGACTTTCCTGAGCTCATCCATTAGGTTCCAACCATCTCTGCTTTCATTTTTTTGTTTGTTTTGAAAAAGTGAATCTCTATCCTAACCCCTAAAAGTAACTTGCTTATGGATGGGGCCACACTGGAAAAATTACTTAGATATGCTTTTCTTGTCAGATTTCTTTGTAGCTATTATTATATACTCATGGCATCACTTCCCTTTATTTCCTTGTCTGCCTTTTACTGGACAGGGATCAAGATTTATTTTATATTTGGAAACTTCTCAGCAGATCAGGCGTTACTAGAAATAAAGAATATCAATAAATGTTTTCAATTTTCAGTCTGGGAGAGAGGTTGGGTCAGTAATATTAAAAATATGCGTACCAAAGTAATTTTAATTTTATCTTAACAATATTTTTAGTGTGTCAGCGGGGGGGAGGGTGGGTGCAGAAGGAAAGCTGTGGAAAGCTGTCTGGAACTGACACAGTGAGGCATCCAAATACAGCCAAGCCAATAATTATCAGTAATGCTTGGCTCCAAGCCACAAGATCCTAACAAGCATTTGACTAATCCCTGGGGTTGATCTGCATTTTCAGTCTCTTCAAGGGAAAAAAAAAAAAAAAGCCCCCTGCCTGGCACATCACTGAATTCCTGTCAGATTTTTAACAGAGTTTTTCTGATGTATGGGATTTACACTACAGTGCTAGTACCAGGGACAGAGCCAACCACTTGGCTGTGAATGACAGTACTTTCTGAATACGTTTTGGGCAAAATCCAGATCCCATTGAAGTCAGTGGGAAAACTCCAGTTGGCTTTAATAGGACTAAGATGCTCCTCAACCCTCCCATGCTAAAGCTAACTGATTTTATTTTTTTAAACAATTTTTTAAAGCTGTTTAAGATCATAATTTTTCTACAGTGAGTTAATTCTCCTGGCAGAGAAGTGGTGACCTCCTTTTTCTATGCTTTTCTTCAGCAGAAAACTACTGAAGAAAAGTTTGAGATATGGGTCATAACTAGGTGTAGCAATAGTCATGGCATGGTGAATATTTTCCAGAAAGTTTTCTTTGGACCAAAATAAAACTCTGTTCCTGACAGATAAATGACGTTTCATATGTTTTGTTTAAAAATGCATATATTTGTCATTCAAAGGTACTCAGTGTAATTTAGGATCTCAACAGTATTCTATTTATATATATATATATATATATAGTACATGTAATCTCTGTTTTGAAACTGAATGATTCAAACAAAAAAATTGGGTGCACACCCATGAGTGTGCACATGCAGGGGTGCATGTTCCCTGTGGTACAAATATGTCACTGCTATTTGTTCCTGGGCACGCCCCTGCACGTGCACTCTGGTGTGTTGCAAATTACCCCGGGTGGGGTAGGGGAGACTGGGGCCAGCACCTGGGTTCACCCTAGCATCCTTAACTGGGGTCCTCCCAGAGCAGCAGGGCTGACTATCTGATAACTCAGAGCCTGGCCAGCCTGGCTGGCAGTCAGAGTGGCTCTGGTCAGTGCCAGGCTCCCTTTTTGGTGGCGCACGCTGCTGCTGAGTGGTCAATGCCACAGTTTTTAGTGGCATCTTCTTTTGACACCAGGGTCTCCTAGTGTAAAAAAACCCCACCACACTGCAAATAGCAGCTCAGCAGACACGTGCACATGCACTGTGTGCAATTTGCAGCACAGCAACCCTCACATGTATGCTTATGGGGACACACCCACATTGTTTATTGCTACCCCCTTTTGTCCCATTACTTTTTGTAATGCAACAAAGTAAACACAGGACTTTTTTTTTCTTCAAAATCAATATTTACCACATTGACCACACTCCAGTATTTTGACATTAATTTGGTATATTCTATACTTAAAGTAGGAAACACCAGAAAATACCACGATGTAGTAAATATTGATCTTTCAGCGGCCACAACTGTATTGCTACCAAGTGTCACAGGGAGGTGTTTTCTTTATTACATCTTGCTACTTCTCCTGATTATTCTGTGTGCATAGATTTGCTTAAGAAAAGACCAGATTCTGACACTTACTCCCTGTAAATAGCACCTTGCTCTACAAGCAGTCCCATGAGTTTCAATAGGACTCCTTTCGAATAAGGTCTTTTTTACCCAGGAGTAGCAGAAGATGATCCCAAAGGTTTATCATTCTCTGTGGGCACATCTACACAAGATGATTACTGTGGAGTTGCCTAGTTAGTTCTGCAATAAATGTCCGGCATCTACGTGTGTGGCCCTATTAAGCTGACAGAAGTTAATAAACTCTGCAGTACAGTAATACTTAAAATATAAGAACTATCCTTCTGTGAAGTATTTTTGTGTGCAGCACCACACACGTAGATGTTGACCTGGCTATCAAAGGCATGAGGGTGCTTCAGTGTGAGGGCTGCCTGCTGGCTAACCCTGTACTGAAGCACCCTCATGCGCCAGTCAGCCAGCCCCTCTGCAGGACATTGAGCCAGGTCAACTGGGGCTGCTCCAACCCAGATCAATGTGCTGCAGCCCTTGGTGCACATATAAATGTGGCACCCAGGAGCAATGAACTCCAGCACGATATGCACCAGAGTTTATTCCTGCACATTAATATGCACATGTAGATGCACCCGGTGTGTATCATCCTCATCCAAAATGTGAGCCAAATGGACCATGATATGTTTAGAAAGATAACCTGGAAATTCATAATGGGGAAAAAGATAAAAAGAAATGATTGGAATAAAGTCCCTTAGGCATTTGCCCAAGAACTAACACAACACAATCAGGAATTCAGAACATTTATTGCAAGAGCTGAATAACTGTAAATAACGTTGAACTGGCAAAGCAGTAACAAGGATAACTGTTTAGATATTTATTCTGTCAAAGTCATCAAACACCCCTCACAAACTGACATAAGTACTGTAATAAGCAATGCACCCCTAACCCATTTTATACCTTTATACTGTGGAGGAAAAAAATGTGAACTGCTATATACAACAAAACAAAGCAAAGCAAAACAAAATGCCTGTTTTTGGTAAAAACAAATTAACCTTCAGATTACCTAACTTTGTTATTGTAAGACTGATGTTTAACAGTGGCATAAGATAACTTTACCTTTTTTTTCTGTAAGGACTTTTTTGCATGCTATTTATTTGTTTAAATCATCTGTCATGCCTTAACAAAAACCGCCTAAGAATGTTTGGATTTGGAACTGTTTTACGTGCAACTTAGATCTTATTAACATTAGAAGTCACTCTGCTGGTTTGACTAAAGTGACATGACGCTGGTACCTGCCAGGCATTGACCAACTATGATAACAAACAGTTAAACAGCAATAATTAGAGATTTAACCCTTTAGTTCCCCCAACTAGCCTACCAGGAGAATGCTCTGTTACATCATGAAGGCACAACACATTAAATATTCTGTGGCTATGGTCTAAAAACACTTGTGTTACTACAACATTAATGTGGATGATTAACACAAATGCTATTTCAGCAATACAAACTGTCTTAAGTATAGACACACATTTGCCCAATTGGAAAGAAAATGATTATTATATTTGTCTCTGCAAATTTTCCTCCATCTATTGCAACTGAGATCAAGGTTAGTTACTTTACATTAATTGTGAGACTTCAGCTAACTCCGAGTTTCTAAATTAATGCCCTCCCCCCCACTTGTTGCCAACACCCATAGCTAACTTCTTTTTTTTTTTTTTATTTTAATTTTTTTGCAGTTCCCTTGCTTTGCAAAATAGAATGGAAATAAAAATAAAGTTGCAAAAGTTTAAAGCCCTTGCATAAATCTTTTTGTTGCGTATTATTTGAAAACAATTTTGTTTTCCAGCGTCTACACAGAAGCAAGAGTCTTTTTTTTTTCTTTTTTCCTTTTTTAAAACTTTTTAACACAAGTGTTTTAAGTTCCTTGGAACATTGTGTGTCAGACAGACTACTAACACAGAAACACCATCACTGAAAGGAAAAACAAAACAACAGGAAGCAAATGAAAGAAATTAAAAAGCAACTGTGAAACACAGAATTATGCTACAGTATCTTTTTAGGTGAACGTTATAAGTACACAAAATTTGTTAGTAATAATTGTTTCTATTTACAAATACTTGAACACTGATTGACTTACAAGTGTCCACTAATGTTGTTAATAGCACAATAGGTTTAATGTTTATAGTTTTAGTTGTTTTGTTTGTAGTATGATGTCAAGTATAGCGGTCCCAGCACAGATCAATGACAACAAGAGCACAATTTTCTAACTGGATATGCTTTTCAATCATTGCAGTCCACTGAACTTTTTCTCTCATTCTTTTGCTCTCCAAATGCATCTTCCATTGTTCATAGCAGCAGTCCAGGGTCAAAAAACAAACAAACAAACAAAAAACGATATTTGCAAACTGGAGAGATCTCTGTAGAGTTTAATCATGTCCATTTAACAAAACCACATAATTAGCAGAAATGCTCTTTTGTGTTGCAGGACATCATACCCTCCATGGTGCTAACATAAAGATATGCATATCTGCTATATGAAGCATAGTTCTAGAGGTCTACCCAGTACATAAAGCTCTGACACACACACAGTATTAGCAAGTCTACGTAGGCTAAAGTCATTGGTCCAAAGTAACCATTTTTTATAGCTGGTGTTCCTTTGGACTCTCAACAGCTCCTGAAGCCTGTTTATAAGACTTCAAGTTAGCCAAAGGAATATCAGTCATGTGATTGCCAGCGTTGAAATGGCCCTCACTGGAACCATACTGCTTTCGATCACTGAACTGGTTTCTGTTGCTATCTTCTTTCCAGGTTCTTGTCAATGTGTGTCCATTCACTAGTTTGTCCTTCTTAACCCATTCTTTTTGAGGTGCAAAGGTGGAGAGAGGAGACTTTGGCTGCTGGTATGGACCCAGGCCAGGAGGCATCCAACAGTTATCAGAGTGACCCAAAACTAGGCATTCTTGAGTGCACATTTCTGTGGCTTCAGCTAATCCTCGTGGACCAAGAGGCCCATCTGTGGGGAAGGGGAAGAGAGACAAAAGAAAGAGGAAGAGAGTGTAAGAAATAATATTGGACCTTTGCTTTAAAAATATTTCCATTAAAGTTGCATGAACTCCTGCCTTTTGAAAGAATAAGAAAAAGTATCTAAAGTTATTTACAAGTTGCCATCATGTCAATGCCCGAGTGCCTTATGTGGATGGTTGTCAGTGACATCATTACTATATTGTACATATTCTTCTAGATCAGTGAGTTTCAACCTGTGGTCTGTCGACCCCTGCAAGTCCACAGACTATATCTAAGGGTTTTGTGAAAAATGACTATGATCAATCAAAAGTATGTGAATATCCACATTTACAATTCAAAGGGGTCACCACCTCCATTTGAAATCTACAAAGGGGTCCACAATGCCATTCAGAATTTTTTAGGGGTCCACAAATCAAAAAAGGTTGAAAACCACTGTTCTAGGTCTTTGTACGCATACTTCCCACTTCTTCAATTCTTCAAAAATGGAAAGGTAGTTCAAGTAGTTATATGCATCTGGCCAGCAGATGCAAATGCTTGATATGAATCAGTTTAGATCCTGTGTTCTAACAACCCCTTGCAACTAAGGATCATTAACATAATATGCATGCATGACCAGGATACCAGCCCCAAGTACCCAGTTAGACAGGGCACATAAATGTAACCAACGTTGCTAGTGGCTCATCTGCCCCAGCCAGCCGGGCCCCTGCTGCCACCACAGCTGCCCAGGGTGCAGACCTTGGTCATTATACATCTGCTAAGGGTAGGTAAAAAACACAGGTGGGAATAACATTATCAACCCAAGTTCTTCATGGGACTTTGTGATAGTGGGAACTTGACATATCCAGTTGTGTTCTGCTCTGTCCTCACCATACATCCAGATTCAAGGTATTTCAATGAACTAGCATGCTGCATGGCTTTATATCAGCTGAGAACTCCCTGATGATAGAGAATTCTGGACAATTATCTCTCAATTCTACCACGCTGCAGGACCAGAGTTGTGCAAAATGTCCCGAAATGGAGGCGAGAATGTAGATTTACCCTGATAAATCAGGGCAGCCTGCAGGGCAGCCAACCTGCAGCATGCGTACTGCAAGTAGCACAAGCAGACCATGTGTGGCACATGGCAGACTAGAGATGGGACAGGCAACACAGTGACAGATGAGGCTGGGAGCAGAAACAGATCAGCAGATTGATGAGTAGGGATCCTGGTTTTCTCTGATAAAAAAAAAAAATCCCCAATTTTTGGATTACAAGAAGTAACCCAAAATCCACATTTTTCCATGATTAAAATGAATCACTACTGCATATATATAGTTGCATTTTAATCACAGAAAAATGTGGATTTGGGGTTACTTTTTGAATCCAAAAATTGGGGATTTTTTTTTTTTTATCAGGCTAGATTTATCAGATAAAACCAGGGTCCCTGTTGATCAAAGAGCACAGAGCAGGAACCTGAAAGCAGAGCAGCTGATCAGGCAGGGAAAGAAGATAGGAGTGGCACTCAGGGCAGGTGTGGGGCTAATTTGTGGCATGCCTGCCAAAAAAGTATTGGTCCCCACTGCTTCACATCATGACAAAAAATACAAGAAGTACAAGAAATATAGTGATTCTACTAGAGATCTGTTTGCTATGCAACCATATGAAGAAAAGGGTATGTAAGATGGGACCCTTCTGTAAGTTTTGTATTTCTTGCAGCTGATAAAAAAACTGTTTTCCTAATCCCTTATAGATTATGCATATGAAAACACAGGAACTAGAAACAGTCTGCTAATGTACTGTGCATATTAAAGATCTACTTTGTCTTTCACACACTACTGAGGGCACAGCTGGCTGGCTGCAGGCACCTTACAGTCTGTTCAGCAGACAAGTCACCCATATATTCAGCCAGGGCTAACCTCTCTACAGTCTTAGCATGTTTCTAAGTGACTGAACTTGCAGAGGAGTTGCTGATCTGATCAGACTAGATTTATTGAAAGGACAAGACATTCTAAAAGACTGATAAAACCTCCATGTGTGTCTTTGTTACCCATTTCTCAACATCTGAGATATGCTTTGTCATGATTTGTTACTAAATTTATGATGATTTTGATCAGGAATTTCAAGAGAGAAGCCTTTTTTTTACTTCAGAACAAATCAACTGCCTACATGTACAGACAGTCAAAGAGTTAGAGAGACATTTTTTTCTTTTCTGATTAAACAGTCAAGTGACATGAAGGAAAATACAGATTGATTTTTCAGAATAAGGTTAAGCAGGCAGGCATGAATACTGAAGTTATGAAGTATCTTAAAGTGCTGCTAATCAGAGGAAAAATACCCCCCCCCCAATCAGGCTGTCAGTGGTGTGTCAGCAAAAAAGCATTTCTTTTACAAAATGTTATAATTTGGGCTAGAAATTGCCATGGAAAATACCTAGACAATGCCTGTGCTTCTGTGCCAGTGGAGATTTTGATCTCATCTACTGCTTCAAATATAGCATAGCAGCCTTCATAGTAAGTTTAATTCCAAATCAGCAGGTTATCCTAATTAGCAGGGATCCTGGTTTTCTCTGTTTAAAAAATATCCCCAATTTTCTGATTAAAAAAGTAACCCAACATCCACATTTTTTTGTGATTAAAAAGAAAAGTCTCTCTCTCTCGCTCTCTCTAGATATATATATATCTTCCTAGATATCTAGATATAGATATAGATATATACAGAGAGAGAGAGAGAGAGAGACTTTTCTTTTTAATCACAAAAAAATGTGGATGTTGGGTTACTTTTTTAGTTATATATGTGTATATATCTATATATATATAGAGAGAGAAAGAGAGGGTTATGTATATAAATTGCGTTACTTTTTTCAATCCAAAAACTGATTTTTTTTTTATCAGAGAAAACCAGGATCCCTGCTAACTAGTCTAACCACAGCTGCTATTTTTTTTCCAAATGCCCTATTTATTTATTTCCTTAATGTAAAAAAGTATATGGCCTTCTAGCATCCTGAGGCAGTGATTTCCATAGGTTATCTGCTGCATGCTCCAGCAAATGTACGATATTATTTTTCTTTTAAAACAAACCCAATTCACAAATAGTCTCTGACAGAGACCTTCGAAGCAGAGACAACTTTTGAATAGCTGAGAAGTACACAACAGAGAGTGAATATTCAAGCAAACAATAAACCATACATTCAAAATTCTTTTTATCTAGATGATCCATGACTAGGAGACCTAAAATCTACTCCTGCAATCCCTAAGCAAGCAAATCTCCCATTGCAATCATCTGGAAAAATATAAGGACAGCAAATGCAGCGTTATTTGCAGCAAGACAAGATGAAATATTTACATCACATTTAGAGGGGAAAAATGGCTGCCAAGCAGCAGCTTAGGAAAAATTTCAAGGACAACTAAGAACCTTGATTTTAAAATGAGAACAGTGATAATTCACTGGAAGAGAGATATTCTTCTGCTATTTAAAAAAAAAACCAAAAACAAAAACAAAAAAACTTATTGAATTTCCAGCATGGAGCTATAATCAAACTGAGGCAGGTACTTACTACGAAAAAGCAAAAGTAAGTAAAGGAAGTACTCCCAGTATATTGTTAACATTTCCAAAGGTTAATCTATAGGTTAAAAGCTGATTTTTTTTTTCTGCTGACAACAGAAATTTAATTTTAATTAGGTTTTTCCCGTTTTCACAGGAAGAAAGTGAGAAGTGGCAAAACTATTTTCAACCAGACTGCTCACACAATACAATACTATCTTGCTGACCCAAGGAGGAAAGGTTTGGGAGGGATTAAAACTTTCAATACACAAAGAAAGCCCTTCACTAGAGAGTGACACATTTCAAGAAATACAGTGCATGCACTTTGCGCTTCCAATTTGCACTGTAATAGCAGGTTAACAAGAGAGCTTTCAGTTGCACAGTAGCGAAGTAGATATGTTACATTTCTCTGTTTAGCTAAATAAAGTAAAATAAAGTGCAAATACATAGGAAGTCTTTTCTGTTCAGAATTTGAATATATAAGCTGTTTTTACTTAGGCCAAAATATGCATATGGCCCTATAAGCCATGTCAAACTCTTCCTGGAGAGATTTATTTCATGTGTTTAGCTTTCCTTAGAAACAGTTCTAGACCATTAATACAGCTAATCTGAGAAAGGATTTTATACAAGCTTTACAAATTTCTTAAGGCGCAAAGTTTATGGACTGCTCTGGAGTATTTAGATGACAGGCACAATTTAAATGTGCATTGCTAAGAACAAGAGACTGTCTACTGAACAGCAACAGGACAGTTTTGTGGAATTAATAATGGGGCGATTACCTTATTAGGATGGATATTTCCTGTATTTTTTTTTTTAGTAAAATATTGCTTTCCTAGTTTGGCTTCCTGCAAGGTCAGGTATCCAGTGTATTTCAAAGAGATGTAAGAGTGCTCCCCATGCCCCATTCTCTAAATCTATGGAAGACAATTATGAAAGAAGTGTTGCATGTTCTGAAGCCGAATATTGCTCACTTTACTTGCAGGTGCACCCGAGAGGTACCTACCTCTAAATGAGAGGCACAACAGAGCAGTTTTTATCTCAGACAGTGGTGGTGCATGGAACAGTGTTGCTTGCTGTGCTGCTGGTGGTGGCAGGGCCAGTTGCTAGATGTGGTGGTGGTTATTTCTAAGCCTTTCCGAACACAGGACTGGGAGCTGCTTTCTTGGTTAACCATCTCCCCCAGTCACAAAATACAGTGGGGAGTTTGGGCTCTAACCCCTAGTGGAAATCAGGAATACTCCTATAATAGTAGTTCCCTCCATAGCCTTGCAACAAGTCTCTACATCTCTCTGACTCAGTTTCCCCACTTTGTAAAATGCAAGATACTATTTGCCTGCCTCAGAAGGGGGGTGGGAGGATTAGCTATCACAGAATTTGATTAGTTGCCATAAAGAACTTTATATAAATTATAAACATATATATATTTATATGTTCCTTTTTTTAAATTGAGGCAACATTATCTTTATATCC